TGAAAATTTGTTAGCTAGGAGATGAAGCTTGAAGAGCATTCAAGTTAATCTAAAATTGAAGCTTGGGTAGATGGGAATCATAGCCGTTCTCTTAAAAGAGGGATTAAATCCAAGTGAGGTATCTTGTTTCTGGCTGTTTACAACATGAAGAGGAAGAACCTGTAAGCAGTTAAAGTGGCTTGTAGAGCATTTTACCCCTAATTATTAAGTGTGTACTCAATTATATATTTATATGAAAGTGAAATAACGTTACTGTCAATCTGAGTAGTCAATGTTAGTTTTAAAGGTAACGTGTGCACCAACATTTTTAAAATGTATGAGTGATTCACAATGCAGTGGCTTAATCCCCTTTTGATTAGTAAATACCCCAGTGGAGACATTTAAAAGTATATACTATAGTTCTAATATTCCCTCATCTTAAAGATTGATTGGAGCATCTCACTTTGAAGACCACAGTTGTAGAAGGCTGTTGAAACAAGTCTAGAATCCAAGGGAGGAAGTAAAGGTGACACGATGGACTGGACTAGCAGCTTTGGAAATTGAAAAAAACAGGGTTCACCTGTAAGTGATACTGTAGGTAGGGCTTTTTTCTGGAAGGAGTAGGATTGTCCGAGATCATTATGCACCAAGGATACCTTCAGTTTAATAGGCAATTGAGGCTTTGTGTTAAAACACCTAAGGTATTAAAGACACCTATGATGCAGACAAAGTAAAGAGGAAAAGATGGGTGTTGGGAAGGGACGGGGACGCTGGGAAGAAGTGCTGATTTGGGAAACTACGTGTTGCCTCTGCCCGCCCCCCCCCTTGTGGTACCTGCTTACTGCAGTCCTCCAGGTGCTGTTTATGGTCTGGTTTTACCGTTTTCCAGGCTCTACTTTCTCTGTCCATTCCTCTTAACATCCTGGGTCTATGTAAATGACGTGGCTCAGCTTATAGGGGCTGCAAAGAAATTGACGAGGAGCAAGGTCAGTGGGGCTTTGAAGCCAAAGGCGGAGTCTAAGCAGCCCTTCACCCTAGCGAGCAAGGTGTGAAACTAAACACCTGTGCGCGGGCAGGTGGCGTGCAGCCAGCAGCCCAGGCCCAACCTGGAGGCCACGGGGCAGGTGGGGGCGCGGAGGCGGCCTGCTTTCTCCGCGCGAGCCCTTTAAGGTCAGCGGCGGAAGTGCGTGGCGGCACGTGGCCACACTGGGCGCCGGGGTGGAGCGGCGCGGCTATGGATGTGGGCGCCGACGAGTTCGAACAGAGCTTGCCTCTGCTGCAGGAGCTAGTCCTGGGCGCGGACTTCGTGGGTAAGGCACCCCCACCCCCACCCCCGCCCCGGATTCCAAGCCTTGTGGCCTGAACCCCTGGCCGGAGGATCCTGTGGAGGGGGTGGCGCGGGTCGGACCGGGTGGAGAGGTGAGGCCAAGCCTGCCTGCGGGAGGCTCAGAGAGGGGCCCCGAAGGACCGGGAGAGCCCTCCTCTGCCTGGGCAGTGGGACGTTAAGCAGCAATTGCCCCTTTGGCTCTGCTGTGGCCCAGGTGACGCCGAGCCGACGGAAGGGGGCAGCCTGGGTTGTCCTTGCTTTGGCTCCCTCCGTTTTCCCTTCTTGATCTCACCTGGCCGCTTGAGCACCAAGCTGGGCAGGTTTGCCACCTGCAGCATTCACAGCATGAAGAGCGGTGCCAGTGGTCTGCGTGCGGGCACTCTTTGTCTTTTTTGCCTCCCTGCAGGTCTGGACATAGAGTTCACCGGCCTTCGTTCCTGCTTGTCGCGGCCGGAGCAGATCAGGTAAAGCTCAAGCTGCCTTACAGCTGAGATAGAAAGGCTCACCGGTGCCCCTCTGGCTGGCATCCTGGCCACGGCCAGCATTGTTTCACAGAAGGCACCCTGTTGGCCCTGGGCTGGCAGGTCAATGTTTTGTGTGGGGGTCTAGGGACCTGGCCTTTGTCCACTAAACGCTGGTAGTGTTCCCCAGTTGTGACAAGGAAAACTGGCGGAGTGAGAGGTGCCGGTTCAGCACGGAGGCTGAGCACCTTGATGCCATCTCATTGCCTATGGAGTGAGATGCCTGTTTTTTCACAGTCTTTTTGACTTGCCGTCGGAGTGGTATCTAAAGACCCGTCAGAGTGTCCAGCAATTCACAATCTGTCAGATTGGTGAGTCTGATCTTCGGCTGTTTGTCATGAGCTAGGAGAGATATTTTTATTGTTTTTGTGTTTCCTACTGGTCAAACAACTTGGACACCTCACAAAGAACCTGGCTGTCATTTTGCATGCTTGTTTGGGTTTCAGCCATGTTATGCCTGTGGGACCTAACACTTTGGAACAAGCAGAAACTTAATGAGCAGCATTACTTGTATGCCTAAATAAATCAACATTAAGCAACTTATACCATCTTTCAAGGAAAAATGTGTGTGTATGATTTTCGTTTAGCGAAAACTTAAACCATTAAGGTCACACCACACATGTTTTACATCTTGTTTTTTTCACTAATGGGGTTTAGAGATCTTTTTGTTCATTTTTTACAGTTGTATAGTATTCCAAACTGAATGTATCTATTGACTCAGTCTTCTAATGATCCAAACTGAATGTATCTATTGACTCAGTCTTCTAATGATGCATCCTTTGGTTACCATTTGTGTGTGATAAAACAAGGTTGCTTTGACTATCTTAGTATTCACACATTCCTGTACTTTTGTGAGTATGCATTTGGTGTACTTCTAGCAGTGGAACTGTGTTGAAGCATTGCTTCGTGTTGCCAAGCTATCCCTCCTAACGCCCATCCACAAAGCTGGCAGGGACTCACACCAACAGCAGTGAACGCGCCTTTCCTTCACTCGCACTGGCTATTATCAGTCTTAAATGTTTGGTCCACCTAGTCGAGGAAAAATGATCTAATGGTTAGGTTTTGCAGGCCCCGTGGACTCTGTTACAGCTACTCAATTCTGCCACTGTTAATGGAAATCAGCCATAGATGGTACATAAATGAATGAGCACGGCTGTCTTCCAGTACAACTTCATTTATTAAAACAGGCCATGAGACAGATTTTACTGCCCCGTGCTTGTTCTTATGAGTGGTAGTGAACTCCCATGTGCATGTGTTTTGCTGCCTGTACTTGTCTTTTGCTAGTTCTGTTGTGGTTGTTTTCCTTGATTGTAAGACCTCTTTCTAAACTATGGGAAACAGCACTTAGATATGTTTCTATTTTTTTCCCCTACTGGGAACTCTTTTTCACTTTGCNTTCTTTTGGGGGGAAATTATAATAATTTTATTAAAAAATATTATCATATTGGTTAAGAGCTTGCTCAAGAGTGCAAGCTCTGAGCAACAGGGTAGCCGGTTCGATTCCTGGCCCCAGCTGATCTGCCAACAGTGGCTCAGCTAAAAAAAAAAAAACAAACAACAAACCATAGATAAGTTACTTGGATGAAGATCATTTTTATTACTTCAGACGAAGTAGATTTCGTTCTCTAATGGCTTCTAGTTTAATCTAGAAATACAAACATTTCCTCCCACAAACCATCGTTTGTTTCTTTAGGACAAATTATTATTTGTTCTTCACCAAATAGTGCCTCTATTACATCAATGTGCTGATGACCTTGAAGTTTATGACATATTGATCACATTTACTTTTTCACACTCCCATATTGAACTCATGAGATTGCCTTGTCAGCATTTAAAATATAAGACATCTTGTTTTTATAAGCTGTTAACATTTTTTTCTTTAGGTTAATTATAAAGGGAAGGTTTTAGAAATTTCCAAGTCTCAGGTCATGGGTGGGGTGGGGAACAACTTTCTTTTTTCTTTCTCTCTCTCTCATTCATTCATTTAGCTGAGCCATCCTGCCACCTGTTGGCAGCACAGCGGCAGCTCAGTTTGGGCCGGGAATCGTACCGGTGACCCTGTTGCTCAGAGCTCACACTCTTGAGCGAGCTCTTAACCGAGCCAAAGGAAAACAACTTTTTAAAAAAAACTATTAATAAAATTGTGATGTATGAATACTGTTATAAGTGAGGAAAAAAACCTCAAAAGCTTGTGAAAATAAACATTTAAAACGGGACCATATTAAATCATCTCAAGTTTCTTTTCTATTTAAATTGTGCAAACTAGCTATAACCATTCAGTCTTCAAATTGNAAATGTTTTGTTTTAGTGGTTAACTTCTGGCAGCTCTGCTTCGGTACTCAGTCCCCCTACTGTCATTCTTCTAGGATTGTCTGTGTTTTCCAGCATTGAAGGAGAGTCAAACAAGTAAGTATAAAGACCTTTTACAAAACCCAGGGCCCTTGCCCGTTTATCTTCTCCAGTTACTCACCCCAAGTTCTGCATCAGGCCCTGAACCACTCTGGCCCTGGACACTCTATATTCTCTCCTGCTTCTGTGCCCATCTGCTTGCTCTCTGCCCTGCAGACTCGGGCTTGTCCTTCAAGTCTCTGAAGCGGCGCCTTTTTGGGGGGCCTTTCCTGACACCCTGCTCTGGCCCTTAGACATTCCTGTCTCCAGTTCCAGTGTCTCCTCTGTGCTCCATCAGGATGGCGGTGAACACAGCGTTATGCCCGAGGCTGACGTAGCTCCCGGGCACCAGCAGAGAGGACGTTGGATGGCAGTCCCGCTGCTGGGCTTACCATGGGGGGCAGACTCTGTTCTTGGAGGACAGGACCTCTGCCTTTTGTCATTGGTCCCCAGGGCCAGTCATAGTACTGGAAGCAGCTGTCATTCAAATACTCCTCAAGTGAAAGGAAGAGCCTCCTCTGAAGCTTGCTCTCTGAGCCAGAGTTTTTAAAATGGTTTTGGCTTTTTTTCCTTATGTTTATTGTTTTTTATAGGTACGTAGCCCATTCGTGTAACTTCTTTCTCTTCCCTACAACATTTGGGATTTTGGATTCAGAGTTCTCTTTCCAGGCTTCTAGTGTTCAGTTTTTGAATCAGTATGGCTTCGACTATAACAAGGTATGGCATTGGAGGAGGGGCGTGGGAAGGTTTTAAAGGTTGCCTTGTCCACCTGGTGTCCGAGTCCCGTTACCGTCCCCTTTCACGTCCGCATGAAACCTGACAAGGAAGGTTTCCTTTTCCTCTGCTCCCCGGCACAGAGGACACGACTAGCCAGACTCCTTGTTCTCTTCCTGTCTTTAGTTTCTTAAAAATGGAATCCCATATATGAATGAAGAACAGGAGAAGAAAATTAAACACAACATCCTGACTGGGAACTGGAAAGTTCGCAGGTATAGCCTGTTTCTCCCGGTTGGGTTTCTTGCTGGGTTTCTTTGTGGCTGGAGTTTTCTCTGCATGTCCCGTGGGCAGGCACGCTCCCTCCAGAGGGTGGTGACTGTGCACCATCACCTTAAGCTGGGGTGGCTTCTGCGGCATGTGCTGAGCTCCGAGTGCCGGTGATTCCATCCTGTGTCTGAGTGGAGAAACCTCTCACGGCATTGATTGTGATTTCAGGCTTTAAAAATGGAGGGAAAAAAGAAAAGGAACTGACTCTTAATTGGGTACTCTAAGCAGCAGGAGCGCCACTGCAGTGCTAGGGTGGGAAATGGTGGTGAGGTGTTACGTTGGCCTTCAGTGTGATCTTAGGGACTTCAGGGGTAAGTCATGAGTCACCTTGACCATGCGTCCCATGCCTCAGCTTGGACCTGTCCCTCCGGTGCTTGGTCCTGCTGTGTTCCCTGAGGGCAGGATTTCTTCCTTTGTTTTCCTTTGGCCCCTGGTGCCAGTTGTCACACTTCAAACCCTGTACTTCCCTAGAGCTGGGACCAGGAGTGATGGAGTGAGTGGCAGTGTTGTGTGGTAGCAGGAGCGTGCCACCCTGTCTCAGGCAGGCCCTGCTGTCACTTAGTTGTGTGTTCTGAATAGGTTGTTTACGTAATTTGGGCTTCAGATTATTTTTCTTTATCAGGAAGGGGGTTAAATTAGATAGCTTTTCACTCTGGAATGTTACGATTAATTATCTGGTCCAGATCATTATCTTAAGTAATGTTGGAGTTTTTTTGGGGTAAATTTTTTTATCCTCATTTGTGGTTTTCACATAAAAGTGTAGCTTTTTGTAAGGGGGGAAAAAACAATTTGAATTTTTAACCTCCTGTTATTTCTGGATACTGGAGAAAAGGCCTTTCTGTATCTCAAAATAACATCATGTTCTTATGTTTCTGACACAGGAGAAGATGTACTTACCAAAGTTCCTGTCTTTTCCTAATTTCCCCAGATGGTGTTTTTGCACCTCTGAGAGCTGAATTAGGAAGACAGGCCCAATAGTAATGCATAGTGTTGGCTGGCTCCCAGTACCTTTCCCTCCATATGTCCTAATGAAGCAGGCAGGGATGGAACGTTCTCCTGTGACATGCGAGAGAGGATTGGCCAAGTGCTTGGCTTCCTGTTTTAACAAGACTCGGAAAATAAATGGTCATTTTTGGGTCCGTGTTTTCTTGCCAACATGACCGTGTTAAAACTGGAGACAGTGCTAACCTTGTCACAGTCCTACTGGTTTCCTCCAGCATTTCCACTTTCATGTGCCCGTTTTCAGTTCCCTGGATAAAGATCAAATCAAGGTGGTGATTGATGAGGTGACGCGGTGGCTGCACCTGGCAGAGGAAGGCGACTGGATGACTCTCCCTGGCATCTCTGGTAGGCAGGAGGCTGCTCCCCTGACCTGGCAGTGTTGGAACCCATCACTGTCACATACCAGGGCTTGGGGCAATCCCCTCTCGTCCCGTGGACCTTGGCATTGGCTCAGCAGATGTGTGGTCTTTGTGGGGAGATAAAGCTCTGACCTCACTTGAGAAGTTGAAGGCTTTCAACTTCTCAACCTAAAAACCTCAATTTTAAGGTTGAGGAAGTGAAGTTCCATTCAGAACCATCCTTGTATCCCAATCCTGAGTGCCCTGTGTACTTTTATTTACTTTTGTTAATGCCTGAATTTTTCCCGTGGCGCAATGTGGAATCACAGTGAACATGCCCGAGGTTAGTGGTTGTCAGGCCTGGTCTGTGGGCCTCAGGCATCTCTGAGACTCTTTCCGAGGGATCCATGAGGCCAAAACTATTGTCAAAAATATTACTGAACTATCATTGGCATAGTCACTGTGCCATTTGCACTGATGGCGCCGAAGCACTGGTGGGTAAGCCTGTCAGCACCTCGGCACAGATTAAGGCGTCAAACCACGCTGCTCGTCACTGGGTTTTTGTTACCACTTACTCTCAGTTACAAAAAAAAAATCCAGTTTAAGAACCTCCTTGGTGAAGAAGTAATAATTTTTAATTTAACTTCAGCCTTCGCTCATCTTTTAAAATATCTTATGTGTCAAAACGACTATGTAAAAAAAAGTATGCATAAAACGTTGCTGTTTCTTTCCAAAGTACAGGGGTTGTCTTGAGAAAAAGCACTCGTGCAAGTTTTTGAGTTGAAAGCTGAATTAGCTGCTTGTTTTTCATGGAATATTATTTGTACTTAAAGGAACTAACTGGTTATTTTGACTTGAGTATCTTCAGTCATTTTCTCAAATGAAAAAAGTAAGCCTGTCACTTCAAGGAGAATAACTCACAGTATTTGCTAGTGATGAAATGGGCACTTTCAATCAAAAGCTGGCATTTTGGAAAACTCGAATCTGCCCCCATAAGCTCGACAGCTTCCCAATACTGAGCCTTTTCTGATGAGGTCAGTGGCCATGTTTACAAGTGTCTTTTGTTGGTATCATCTAAGGAAACGTGTGAACGTCAGACAACCCGCGTAACTCAGCAAACCAGTGTTTTTCAGAGTCCAGAGTGTTAACCATTACACTATGGAACCCTAACCAGTGTTTTTCAAGTAGCCAGTGTATGATGTTACAAAATCCTGGGCAAAATTAGAATGGGTTTATTATTTTAAAAGAAAACTTTACAGTTTTAAATTTAATGTATAGTTTTAACTTCTAACATGGTCAATATCAATCGCTATAACCCACACACAAGAAGACTCTTCGGGGTCCTCAATGTAAGAGTGGCCCTGAGAGAGACTTCGAGAATGCTGCCCTAGAGCACGCCATGATAGCCTGTGCCAGTCCTGCCTCGTGGGCTTAGGCACACCTGAGAGCTGCGTTTCCACTTGATCCGCCCGTCTCTCAGCTTCTGTTCCTCTTGGGCTTCTCTTGAGGGGAAGGCAGACTGCTGTCCCAGGGTTTGTGGTGGCTCTGTGCCAGCCTTGTGTTTCCTTGCTGTAGGCTTCCAGGCCTTCGAAGTCCAGCTCGTGCTGAGGCAGGCCCTCCCCGACATCTGGACGGTGCTGCGAGACCGAGGGGTGAGTCCTCGCCTGGACAGCAGCACCATCGTTTACCTGTCGCTCAGCCACACCTGGCGTCTGTGAAAGGCCTCTCTCCCTCCCTCCCNTTTAAATCTTTGATCCATCTTACATTTATTTTGGTGTTAGCTGGAAAATAAAAGCATAGAGTTAGTCTTTATCTATTATAGGGTCAGCAACTTAGCTCTGCCTCCTCAAATCCTTTTTTGAAGCAGATGCTGTGTAAATAAGTCTCAGCTCTCAGAAATACCAACATTCTCTTGGATATTTGAGGTTAAGTGGGAATGTTTGGTTTGTTATTGAGAACACCCTTTCAAAGGTAGAGGAAAAACACCTTTCCAGGTTAAGTACATTGAAGTAAATGAATGAAATATTTAGGCATTTATTCACCTGTTGTCACTATTATGATTCTTTTATGATTTTATTCTCTTCTCACCTCATTTAGGTTGCGAGTTGTACGGACGCAGCATCATATAGAAGCGCTTGTTGAACATTGCAGTGGCCGGGTTGTGGTTTCGGCATCCACTCGTGAATGGGCTATTAAAAAGCACCTTTACAGCACCAGAAACGTGGTGGCTTGCGAGAGTATAGGTCGAGTGCTGGCAGAACGGTGCTTAGAGGCTGGAATCAACTTCATGGTCTACCAACCAACTCCTTGGGAGGCAGCCTCAGACTCGGTATTTTTGTTTTCATGTACTTGTTTGAAAGATATTGTGTTAATTCATGACATTAGATACCTACATAATAATAGTTCTTTTCATGTGTCAGCCTCTGAGGTGCATTACCTGATTTCATCCTCACAGCAGCCCAAGGGTCAGAACTAGTGTTCCTTGTTCTGTATATAAGTAACCTGCCCAGAGTCAGTGAGGGGCAGGTTTGAAACCCACAGTGAATGATCGACAGCTCTACTTCTTTGTGTGATACTTTAAAATGCTGCTAATCCTTGGCAGCTTGCCATTCTCGTTTTTCTTCTCTGTCATTATTAAGATCACTCTCTGAAAAACCATTGTAGGCTGGGAAGTTAGCAGAAAGCAAAGCAGTCGTTTATTTCTCTTTCTCAGTAAGTAAACTGTTTACTGATGGTGTTGACTTAATCTTTCCCTTTTTTTCTGATCTTTAAAACCAGATAAAACTACTGCAGAGTGCTATGACAGAAGGTGGTGTGATGCTGCAGGAGCCGCGGAGGATCTATGGATGAAATAGCATTGTTTGGAACATGTAATAAAGCCGCCGCTGTTACACCAGCGGAAGAGAGTGTCTGGAGGAACAGACAGCTCGGAAGCTTATGCAATAATGTAACTGCAGAGTGTTGTTAGTAGCTAAGGTCATCCCATCCTCCTATTTTTTTTCTTTTGTTTTTTTTTATTCAAGAGCTAAATTCTCCTCTCTTGGACATGAG